CTGTTCTGGAATAGTAAGATATTCAAGTTCATGTCGTTGAGCACGAAAATATCGTTTTGTTTTTATATCTTGTAAAAGAAGATCATTAGCTTGAATAACACGACATTCTTGAGGTTCTTCATTTGAGTGACGTCGAACAAATATCGTTTGATTTTCAAGATTATTTGCTTTGGAGACGACTTGTTTCGATTCAATTGGAATACCTTCGATTGATAACGAACCTCGAACAGTATTCGCAAATACATCCCTTGAAAAATACATGGTGAAATTCTATAAAAGAAAACATAGTTTAATTTAAATCATTCGACTAACATAACATACTTTAGGTGCATTGTATTGCTGACAAATTTCCGTGAACGATGGATAGATACGCAATTCGGTAAAATTTGATAAGATTATTCCTGTATCCGTCAACATAATTGTTATGCAAAAAGCAAAATTCAAATGAAAATGTTGTGTCAGTCAAAGTTGTGTTCGGTTTGTAAGATATTTATCTTACTTTCTATAATTGCTTAAAAATAAGAATAGAATTGCACAACATGTGCGTAAGATGCGAGAGAAACAAATTCCATCGACATTTCACATTGTCATGCAAAATGATGAATCATACATCTCGCTTTACAAAAAGATTATTTTTATTTTTCTACTATTGTTTTTGACTAATTGAGGGTGTAACAGAATATTTTTATCTAAAAAATGAAAAATTAACAGTTGAGATAATTGAACGAGTTGAAAAATTCAACTTGATTTATTTCTATCAAAATGAATAATATCATGTTTGTTTACAAGAGAAAGTCGTTTGAGCATTGTAATTCAAATATCGTATCAATTAATTGAATAACTCAACGATTGACATTTCACCCTCTTGGATATTTATATTTAGTTGAAGAGAAGATTAATACTTATATCCTTTTTTATTTATATGAAATATTATAAATTAGAATATTTAGTAATGCATTACTTTATCTATCAGTTTACATTTTCAAACATGAAAATTTTATTCAATCTTATTTTCATAAAATTGAAATAAATCGAACGTTAGAAACTTTTTTTGTTTTGTAAATATCTTTTGATGTTAAAAAGTTTTGTATCTACTATTTCAACAATGTTAATATATTACAAAAAAGATAGATTGTCAAATGAGAGAAAGATAAACGACGATTCTACAATTATATTTAATAAATAATATATAATGAAAAAAGCAAAAGAATAAGCAAATCATTTTAATTCGTTCACAAAAATAATTGAACACCAATATTAATATTGACTATATAATTCTTAGTTTTCAATAAATATTAGAACATAAAGCTTTTTTACATAGTAATACATGCCACTCCAGCAATGTTTTCAGGAGGGTGTGGGGGTGGGTGTGGGTGTCGATGTCTTCTCATC